GGCTTGGACGAGAAGAAAGGCCCAGTCTACTCGACTTGAACGAAGCAAGGAAAGGTGTAGTGGCCGATGGAAAGGCAGGCGTCATGAAAGTTATATCCGTACTGTGGACCTCTCACATGGGTGATAAGAACAGAGGTCCCGGCGAGACTCGATTCATTATGGACGACGGTATACTTGAAAACCCAAGAATTGCGGTGACTCCGCACGGCACCCGGATTGAGATATACTCCCAAAGATTCATCACTCTACTTCGGAAATTAGTTAAATACTATCCAGGGGTGACTTTTGACGTCAAGAATCTCTCCTTCTACGAGCCATACCGTGTCATTGTTTATAACTTGAAAGAAATCGAAGCATTCCAAGCGACTTTCCAGGAATCTGATGGACCCGGACCAGAAGGAACGACCCCAGGCACAGATCTATTGGGAAAATGCGATAAAGAGACATATGATCATATTGAGTCTATTCTAGGCTTCGCTAAAGAACATGTCTGGAAGGGGAAAATTGCCGAAGAAGAGGAGCGTCTTGCGCAAAAGATACCAGTTGCCACGTTCTCGATGCTCTGGTTGATATATAAGCCGGGCACTACAGTATATATCGAATCAGACGGCCGGTTGGCTGCGTATGTAATTCAGAGTGTGACAGTTGATCCAGCTGTTCTGTCATTGCCACCAGAAAAGCTCGATCCTTACGAACTCCACGCATGGTACCTTGACTATGATGGGAAATACGTGAGGAGGTTCGTAAGGAAAATAATCATTCCATCTTTCGTGGGAGAAAGACAGGTAACAGAACTCAATGCCATTCCTTGCAGGTTCCAGGACAACGCCGACGGCGGAGAGGTCAGGAGTAGGCTTCATAGTGAAGGCGAGAAGTGGTATAAGCTTCTCCATGGAGGACTTGTTGGTTACAGAGGCGATACATTGGAAACGCCGAAACAAAATGTTCGTATCATGATCCCTTGTCTCAATATCAACCCCTATTTCTCCCCAACAATTATCAAAGTTATTTACTGACAACTATAGATTGAGGACCGTGTAGTCATTGATTGTACATCATACTGGGAACAAGACGACCTCGAAGAGAAACAAAAACATACTGACAAGAAGAAGAAAAAGGATGGCTCGGATGACTCGGATAACGAAAGCGACCAGACTGAGATGAAGCCACAACTAGTCGAGGACTTTGGTTTCGGCTTAGCTTTATGTCCTTGTCCTACTTGCTTGGGCTTGAGGCCACATCCCCCTCCGGGTTTCATTTGGACTAAATATGATTTAATCGATCCCTCGAATGAAACAACTCTGGAACTTTCTGATGGACCAGAGGAAGACATTAAACATCGTTATCTGCTTTGTTCAAAGCGCCTCATGGGCTTTGCTCTGAAGTCAAGATCCTGGCGTACGAACTTCAAGCTATCATAAGACTAGGATTTTCGCTAATGATTCATTTATAGATATTCTTGACGTTGCAAATTGTGGCGACCCTAAGATCAACAAGAAAGCAATAGACACGCTTGTAATGCCCGATGAAAGAAAGAAGATGATTAAAGCTCTTGTTCATCGCTACACAACACAGGCAGGACCTGGGAAAGGTATCCACCGCGCATGGCAGGCAGATTTCATAGAGAGCAAAGGCGATGGAAGGCTGGTATGTCGACCTCACCGTATTGAGTGAGACCCTTAGTCCTCAATTCCCGCAAAATATCCAAGGCTCCACCCTGTCACACGATAGCTAACACCTTGCATAGTATGTTGCACATTTTCTTCGCATTTCGATCCTGTTCGGCCTAAGCCGGGAAATCGAGAATGGATTCTATGGAAACAATGACTTCAGTACGAATATGAGATGCTAATAAGCTTTACCTAGGTTTCTTCTTCATGGGAGCCCTGGAGTTGGCAAAACCTATGTAAGGCTCTTGCCAATATGAATATTTCTTATGCCTTGAAAACTAACCTTTTGCTAGACAGCTGGTAATTATAACATTACATAACTAGGGACTTGCCAAGCTGACCTGGAAATATATAGAGTGTATAGCGGAGTTCACAGGTCGGCCATTGTTGTCTCTTACTTGTGGTGACCTCGGCAACGATGAGACTGAAATTGAGAGGCAACTATCAAGATGGTTCAAGCTTGCCGAAAGATGGGGCGCCGTTAGTATGTGTTATATACAATTTTCCCTTGTTCACTCGTCTCTTTTCTTCTGTGTTAGAGTATATGAGTTTTTCCTTCCACCCAAGTTTATAACCGCGAGCTGGAACAAGGCACAAGACTCCACCTCCATCCCCAAATCCACCCAAGAACCGCGGTAGCTAACTCTCGACACTAGTGCTCCTTGATGAAGCAGATGTATACACAGAGAGGCGCCAGATCACAGATTTGAAGCGAAACACTATGGTGTCTGGTGAGTCATTAGCTGAACTCGTAAGATCGATGTCGTCTAATTTCAAATGGCTAACCCACGATCCTCGATCTACAGTTTTTCTACGCTGCATGGAGTGTAAGTTATATACGGCACATTTATTACCTAATTTTCTCTGTTTCTCTAGTATCTCACTTCTGTGTTGACTCGATATCTTAAACCCTAAAGCTCTTGACTAATAAAAGGTTGGCTGTGAGATAGATTATCGGGGAATTTTGTTTCTCACTACGAATCGGGTTGGGACATTTGATGATGCTTTTGTCTCAAGAATCCATGTAATGTTTTATCTCCCCTCTATGGTTTCTGGTGTTCATGAGTCTACAGATTGTCATTCATTACAAAGACCTCGACGAGACAGACCGAAAGAAGATATGGAAGCGATTCTTCCAGAAGTTGAAAGATGACAGAAAGGACGACATCAAGATCGACAGCGATACCAAGGACTACGTCTTGGATAACTCCAAGATGCAGAAGATTAATTGGAATGGGCGCGAAATCCGGAACGCCTTCCAAACTGCGGTTGCCTTGGCCGAGTACGAGTTCAATGTCAAGGAAGAGAAGGAGCCCGGCGAGAAGCCTGTATTGAAGCAAGAGCATTTCGAGGAAGTCTGTGGCATGTCACTTGAGTTCAAGAACTATCTCAAGAAGACACATGGAAACATGGATGAAAACCAAAGAGCAGCACTCCAAAAAAGCAGGGCAAGAACAGATGGGCTTGATGAAGTTGAAGTTTAGTAAAGTTTTTATTACTATTTCTTTCTTCTTCTTCTTCCCTTTACTGTGTTGCCCCATAGTCTCAACGTCATCTATCGTTGTCTCTTTACCAAAGCTTTTGTACGCATTCTACATGCGATGTCTCGTTTAAAGTCTCAATCATTATATATATATATATATATATCATTGATCTATATAAACGCCATAATCAACCAATGCGTTTTTTACAACCATCGGCGCTTGATAGCACAAGCGTCAAACGTTGTCTTTCCGTCCCCACGGGCTCAATAAGCTCTTCATGAGGCATCGCGATAACAGGAAACTTTTGTAGGAGGCGTACTATGGTATAGTAGATCTCCATGAGTGCGAAGTCCTCACCGAGACACTGCCTAGGGCCGCCATTGAATGGGAAATATGCCCAACCAATATTGCCTAGTTCCCCAGTTTCCCATCGTTCGGGGCGAAATTTATCTGCGTCATATCCGTATATTGACTTCATTCTCGAGTTTACATACTGGGAAAATACGACAAGTTCCCTTTTTCTAACTAGCATTGGATAATTCCCGTCTGAGCCACCGCCTGTGGGGAGTATCGTTGTCCTTACGGCCTCACGATTGTTGAGAGGGACTGGGGGATAAAGGCGAAGAGCTGCGAATTGCTCAGTTAGCAAGTGCGGTACATACCCAGGCCTGAGAATATCATAGACTGCAAACTTACATTCTTTGACGACGCACGCGAGGAATGGCATCCTTCTGATTTGTTCCCGACTCGGGTAATGAGAACCACCCATGACACCAGCTACCTCGGAACGAAGACGTTCCATGATATGAGCGTGGCGTACAAGTAAGCGACTGCGTCAGAAGTCAGTGAACTAGATATTCTATAAGATCTTGTCGACATACAAAGTCCATGACAGGCAACAAGCCGTGGTATCTCTTCCTGCTAACAATACATTAAGAAGCTGGTCCCGAATAGGTCGAAATATGTAGCGAGCGCCGATCTTAGCTTCTCTCGACGCATTTAAGCGCCGAGATGGTATAACATACATATGCAGTGGGTCCCTACTGGGACTCGCCGTTCTTCGAGGGTATACATATACTATATGGATGATATATATTCATACCTATAATCTGTTATTCAGAGAAGACACAATACATTTGAGTGTCCAAAGAAGGGCTTCTCGGGGCTAGAAATGAAATTAGCAATTGATTAATAGGGGTTGAAGAAATGTAAGTTCTAACGTGTCTCGCATTCGTAAAGTCGATGCCCGCTGGCTCTTTTGTCGCGGACTTAAGCACATGCAAGTCAGTCACTACCAATCATCAAGCTGAAATGAATCGCCCAAAATATAGAAATGACTTCAAAGGAAGTCCGAGACAGTCTTCTCCTTACATGATAGCTCCTGATGTCTTTATCCATCATCATTTAGAATGTGTGTCCTCCATGAAAAATACTGACAATAATGCTTGTTATGTTGAAATCGGCTTGAAAAGGGGCCGCGCCATAGCTTCTTATAGCCAACTTGAGCTCCTACATTGTAATGTTACGGTCACAAATAAGTCTTGCCTACATTTATCGAGTAGAGAAGATGCTAGTGGCGGTCCACTTCCACTATGACATATATATAATCACATGCACTCTATCACATTGCCTTATTAGCGAGGAGTAAGGAGTAGCATTGTCCAACTCGCTTATGCTAATTCTCAGATTGAGAGAGATGTTATGCGTAAAAGTTGGGTAAAAAGCTAAAGGACATCATGTTAATAAGCGGAGGCATAATTCGAGATTACGAGGGTAAATGTATTCCGAACAAGAAAAACAGAAGGCATCATTTGAATACGAATTAAAGAAGAAGCAAAAAATTGAGAGGACCGAGCGTGAATCGAACACGCGACCTCGGGATTGTTGAACAGACTGCAATCCTACGCTAATGAATTGTTAGTTGCATGAATGCGTTAAACGTAAGATTGATTGATTATCATACCTCTACCGCTGAGCTATCGGTCCAGTTGATTCTCTCGCAAGATAATTGAGTACAAGTTCCTATTCGGGAAATTGTGGGGTCGCGCATGTATCGTTAAGCCACCATGCAACCCGACAGTGGTGTTACCCTCCCCCCCTATTTTCCCAGCTTCAGTAACCACCCGACCTATAGCACATTAAGGCGCCGATGCCTGTCTACCTATTTGGTGACCCCTGGCTTGCAAAGCTAACCCGGTATTTTAGCCAGGACGATTCAGTAGGATCCTATAGTCTTAGCAACTACACGAGTAGCTAAATTCAAGAGCAACTGGGCACGTACTGGCAAGGTAAGCATGTTACTCTCCTCATATGCATATGAGTTTATGCAAGAGGATAGCAATCCAATAAGTGGCTGCAGCCAAGTAGGAGTTGCGGAAGGTATTCCCAATAGCGGAAGATAAGCTAGAGACGTATAGACCATAGTCTAGGTAATGCTGTAAGCGACCACATCGCGGATGCCCAAAGTCGAAGTTAATGTATATGTTTAGAAAGGCGAGAATGTTCAAAAGAATGGATTGGTGCGTTTTAAAGTCAAATCTTTGGAGGAATGTGTGCTCGCTTAAATAACCTGATGAGGAGAAGCAAACGGCTTCAATGACGTACGACATTAACACTCCAGTTTATATATACATATATATACCTATCTGGTGAAGCAATATCTAAAGAGGTGTCACGCATTATTGGCCATAGGAGTCTCGGCTTGTCTACTATGGTTACATAGTGCTTCCTAGCTATTAGATATACCTAGATATCAAATGATGGATGAGATGTAATTTAGCAGTCATCTTTTGACTTATCCATTGGCTGGAAGTCATTTTAAGTACCACAATTACATTCAAGTTGCGGTTGATAAGTTGTTTTCCACTAGAGTTCCTCCTGATGAAGACTAGAACTTTCCGCGGAATTAATTAAACTACATGATTCCTTTGCTATAGTATCGCCGTTAATAGGCACTTGGACTCTTGACATATGATGTAAGGGCCCTTGTTATCAACGATTGATACCAGCAAATGCAAACGACAGTTATATAGCGTGTGTAAATATAGGATAAAGTAAGAAAGTGAGCGTAATGGCATAGTGAGTGCAGGGTCGAGCTAGAAAGGGGCTATTTCCCTTGTATATGAATATAGAGCGGTCATATGTAGCGCGCCTTCAGCTCTATATTCCCATCTCAACAGCGTGCTATATTAGTTATACAGCAAGGTACTCTCAGATTAGCTATTCTCCTTCAGAAAGGCGTAGGTAGTACTTCCTTTATAATCAGTCTCTTGATATACCTGGTCGTTCTTTTATAGATATCATACAAGATTAATTTTCTAAACGAGCCCGAACCATTATAAAACTCTTTGCAAATAAGAATGATATTCTCAAACTAACCACCATGGAATCAGCCAACCAGGTTAGTCTTACGTTGCTTCTTATCCTATCAATCAACTGTTGGAAGAAGATGTCTGCTAAGAATATGTTACTCCCCTCGCTTAAGCATAAAATTGAGTTATTATTTGACATATTCCATTTTTCATACCTATCCATTCGCGGTATCAGTAGAGTTATAGGGATTGCATGGCCTAACTCTGGTAGCATGACGCTAATACTACAACAGCCTGCAAGGAGGACCGGAGCTACAATTTCTACCACTTAAGATAACAGCACAGCATGGTCTACAACAGGAATAGGGCTAACATCGACGTCTCTTAACGGAAGCTCGTAGTCTATATAGTCTACTTGCCACTATCTTTATCAGATTGGCCACTGACATTTGGGTTCGAAAGATCTGTCTTCTTCATGCGCCTAACAGCGCGCCGACGCAATTCCGCCTCCGGCCAATTCTTATAGACACTCTGTACAAATTCTGGAGCCATGTCCAGATACTGTGATTCATCAAGGATTATAGACATATTGAAGAGTTCCTGATCGCCAAGCCAGACCTTCGCGTCCTTGTAATGATCGTCTCCTTCGAATGAGACCTCCGTGTCCATCTTAATGTGCGCCTGGATGACCTGCCAAGTCTGACTCAACAGAGATCTGGCGGACTTGAAAGTGGATGATGCTAAATCCTCGTCCAATGTCTTGGCCGTAGTATGATACTCCTCGGCATCGATCATAATTAATGCCGTCATTGCGAGAGGAAAAGCATGCTTTGCCCCGTTGAAATCATAAAGGGCGTATATTTGCTTCCATATTCCTTGGCAGGTTTCCGCGAACGAGAGCCAGTCGAAGAAGAGATCGCTGTTTTCGGTCTTAATGAAGAATTCCATGTTTTTCAAGATATTAACAGTGCCACGGTCGGGCTTTGACCTGGTCTTGTCTAACTTCTCATTGACATTCTCCTTGACCACCGGGCCTAACCCAGCCTGCCGCGCTTTCGCGGCGTAGGATTTCGGGTCGCTGATGGTACTTGTGAGCTTCAATATCATGGCATCGTCCCTTCCGCTGCCTGAAGCCATCCAGGGCATGAGAATGCTGTCGAGGAGGCAGGGGTTAGACACGCGGCGCCTGTGTTTCTTGGCTTGGGGTGACTTGACCCTTGAGTTTTTCGCAAAGCTGCTTATCTGATAGCCTGCGGCTAACATGAACTTCTTGTAGAATCCATTCCATGTTTTCGGCACACGGCCGTAAAACAGGTGCTCCACGTCTTGGTGATGCATGAAGTACTCCATGTCATGCCACACCGGGTCCAAGGGCCACAGAGTGCGGCAGGTGACATAGAGCTGCAGCATGCACGTAATTCCCAGCCAAGTTTCCTCCAAATGATCAGCTACATAGCTGTGTGTATGTAGATACAAGCCGTATTTCAGCATGCCGCATTTCAAAGGGTTGATCCGGAGAAAGTAGTCTGGGTCCCTAAAAAATTCTGGCGGGCCGGGTCGGTCATTCAGAGGGCCCCGATTGAGCTGAATAGGCCTTCCTGATGAATCTATTAGACCACTGCGTAGAAACATCAATTGAAAATTGTTAGCCAATGCGACGGATTGGTATTCGTTTAACATCGGTAACAGAAGTCGGGCCTTATCATTGTCAACAGTGGGTTCATCGAACTTCCTGCTTTTATACTCGGAAAGTTTGTCAATGGTGTGCGTCTGGACCTCCCAGAGAGCTTTTCCTGGCACGGTCTGAAGTTCATCTTGAATATCCAGAAGCAGGCGGACTCCAAATGCGACCCAAATTGGGATTGTTTCAGTTCGGAACATGTAACCAACCGCAGAGGTTATCTCATCACTGGCGAATGCGAATCGTCCGCGAAGGCCAGTCGCGACACCTGCCAAGTATGGCAATATGCGATTAATGCGGCGGAATGTTTCCGTCTCATTGCCGCCATACCCGTCACCCAGCATGTATCGCCTGCCCCTGGACGTATATTCAAACAAAGAGTGCTTCAAAGCAGCGAATGTGTCCAACAAGCAGATCTCGGCGTGGCTACAACTGAATCGGGGGCACCATGAGGTTGGCTTTACAAAATCAGCCAGAGCTTGAACGCTCTCAGTCTGATGTTGCATGTTAGTGACATACATGAAGATATCCGGAAAAGTTCCACTCGGATACGACGAGGATGGGTACTTCTCTGGCCGTTCGACCAGGAGGTCCAACTCATGCTCCGCTCTTCGGACTAGCTGGATAGCTGTGTTCGTGACTAGCGAAGGTAGAATGAGCTCTGCTGTGTCTTGGCTGTATGACTTCCAAATGGTCCGGATATAGGAGCGGACCTCATCAAGTTCTTTCATGAACGCAATGATGGCGAAGAAGAAATCGGCCTCCAGATCTTCTTGGGTCTTCACAAGTTTGACAGGTTCGATGTCCGTCAATTCGTAATTATTGTCATCCAGCTCGGCTGAGCTACTTGTCTCATTTTGGGGACCTTGCTCGCTCGGTTCTTCGACTTCGAGTCTGGAAAAGCGGTTAGATAGGCTGGCTGAAGTGTCCTCTGGTTCCGGAATCTTAGGTGGGTTTTCTTTCTTCTTCTTCGTCGCAGGAGCCGTCCGAGCTGCCTTAAACGGGCGTAGAATTTCCCACGTGTTAGTAAGTACACTCGTAAAGTGCGCATGTCGCTCGTTGCTCTCTTTTTCTTCGGGGCAATGTTTCTGGTACCATTGCGTAAATTCCCTTCTAGTGTCTATGGCACGGCGGAACAGATTATCCAGGGCCTCAGGTACGATTACTTTGGGCCTGAAGTCGGCGATGGTTTTCGCCATGAAGCTGAAGTCGGAAACACTAATAGGATGTTTAGACTGAATCGGGCGCTTGGATGATTTTGATATCTTTGCGCCATAGCCTTGCGTTCTAGCCTTTCCCTTAAGTCTCTTGCTGGGGCCAGTAGTAGTAGTGCTCGAGGGGGGAGACTGATCGATTTGGCAGCGACATTGAAGGGAGTTGAAGGCCAACCATCCCGCGATATTTTCAGTGTCTTCCTTGTATTGCTTGTAGGCAGCAAAATGATCACCGCCAATCGAATCCATGGTTTCTAGATTAATGTACAGGCGATCGTTGCGGGGATGTACAGGCGCGAGAATATATAGGCGAAGGTGACGAGGATGTACAGGAGAAAGTAACGACACAGGAGGAAACAGCTGAAGTCGCGATAAGCCTAAGTAGTAGTGAATACTGGCCTGTTGAACGATACCCTAATTGCCATTCAATGGTAGTAAAAGGCACACCGAGTTGGGTTATGTTTGCAATTCTGCAATTTTGGGAGACAATAATAGGAGTTGCTTGGTGGGGAGATGACTACAACACGAAACGATGAGGCCGGTCGCCTGCAACTGCGGCAAAATTCTCAATGCAAACAATGAGCTTTAGCACAGCATAGTGAATGCAAGGCCAATGGTGACAATCTGGGACAATAATGAGGAACATAATGGCTTGATCAGTGCAAGGCGAAGCTACAGGAGGGGCAGAGCCCCTTGTGTACACATGTACACAAGCGGCAGCTTTACGTAGACCTACACCCTCAGCCCTGTAGGGCGTATCTTAATACGCAGTTTCGCAGT